CCCATATATATATCTGTATAGCTAGCTGACTCCGGTTGTGCCGGAGTTTGGCAAGTTAAAGCTATACATAGGGATGTTTCTTTCACTAAGATAAATATATAGCATAGGCACGGCAGGAAAGCTAAGTTGGTTAAGGATAAGTGCTGAAAGCATATAGGCACGAAGCTTATCTTAAGATATTTCTTAAATATACGTAAAATATTATTACGAAGGATGTAATATAGGCTTTATCCGTACGAATCAGGAGATTTTTAAGAATAAAGTACTAATTTTATAAATAACTATTTATACATATATCACATGTATAATGCATGAATATTTCTGTTACACACATTCCTGCTACGAGCTAGCACTAGCTTTAGCTAGGCAGCACATAAGGAATTACAGAAATAAGCGTAGCTTTAGCTTGCGGATTTTATATCCATGCATTAGTTAGAGCTTGCTAACAAAGTGTATTCTACACTTTGTTAGCAAGCTACTTTTTATAGTGCGCATATTTTTTCTGCTTCTAATCCGAAGGATAGAAAAAATCAGCTATAAAAAAATGACTAAAGCTCTTCATGCTTTTAGCTATCTTTTAGCTAGAAATAGAGCTAGCTAAAGCCTTAATGCTTTGCTTTTTAAAGTTTAGTAAATTGTAGCTAGAGCCTGATTAGCATAAAAGTAATGCAATTGTTTTGTAATCAATTGAAGTAAGTGCGATACTTGCATTGGGCTGACAAATAGCTTTAGCTTGCTAGGATTAGTAAGCTATTACTACGCTAGCTAAGCAAGCTCGGATTAGTAGTCAAGTGGTAAGACATAGCTCTTTCAATGCTACCATCGTAGGTTCGAATCCTATCTAGTCTAAAGCGGATTGGTGTAATAGTAACACATTTGGCTCATGTCCAGAGGTTAGAGGTGCAAGTCCTTTGTCCGCGTAGGGCTATAACTTAATAGGTAAAGTGTACTGCTCATAACAGTAATTATAAGTGTTCAAGTCACTTTAGCCCTAAACCTAAAAAAGCGACCATGGGTGGTTATTCACGCCCATGAGCTGAATCACACCACGGTAAACAGTTACCGCTTGGGTAAAAAATGCCCAAGTGAGCAATTATAAGTTAATGGTAAACTATTCGTTTACCAAACGAATTTTGTCAGTTCGACTCTGACTAATTGTATCACATACAAAACTTTTTAGATCGTATAGTGATATAGTAATACCTTAGGATAATGTCCCTTAAAATAATGTGTGCGCTACGCTGCTACGCTACTACGCTACTACGCTACTATGCTACTACGCTAGGGTGGTAATGAGTAAAAATATTCGTAGTAGCTTGCGCATATAATAGTAGCTTGCATATTTTTCGGAGAAAAATATGCAAGCTAAAGCAAGCTAAAGCTCTCTAACTCTAGATTAGAGATACCAGAGTATTGTAAAAAGGATGTTCTATGCATATTTAGCGCTAAAGAAAAAAATATGCATAAAAGAGAACAATACTACATGGATAAATATATAGCTTTATTTCATAGCATTGCTATGAAATAAAGCTACTAGTATAAGATATAAACATTCGCCTGAGGTATTAATGAAATTAAAAACTCGGAAGAGCTCAAGTGATAGAGGATATTCTGCTATGGTAATTAATAAAAAGATAGTACTTGTACGAAATTTAGTGCTATGAAATAAAGCATAGCTTGCTAATTTTCTATACTTCGAATTAGAAGCAGAAAATACTAAATATCCATAAGACTAAGGTATTTAACTATGCTAATACCAATATGTTAATAAGAGGTACCTATTTAATAACTTGTAGTATGTTTATTAATCCACAAGAGATAGATAGGATAATGAATTAACTTTATACAAATAAAATAATCTAATTAGATCTATTTGTGACATACAACTGGGACAGTTTTTAGTAAAATATTACTACTTTTTTATAAAGCGGTTATGGGTTAATTGGTTAAACTGGTCGATTTCCAATCGATTTATGTCAGTTCAAGTCTGACTAACCGTAAATAAAGTATCTGTAATGGTAAAGTATAAATATAAGAGCTTGCTAACAAAGTGTATTCATAAGGTAAGGTGTCATTTTGTGAGAGCATACGTATAAGGCTAAACAATTTAATAGCTTTTGCATATTTTTTTCTAATCCTGTGGATAAGGATTAGAAAAAAATATGCAGCACTCAATAAGAGATATAATGTCACTTGTTAATACAACGACGCTATTATAATAGTCCTATAAATCTAAGTGGTGGAACCGGTAGACACGACGAACTTAAGCTTCGTTGCTTTAGGGCATGAAGGTTCAAGTCCTTCCTTAGATATTAGTAAGGCGCAAGCTCGTACTATTTTTTATAAAAAATAGAAAGATGGACAACATAATTTTAATAGCTTTATTTCATAGCACCAATCTACTCTTATGCAAATCCGTATTTACAGCGGTGCTATTAATACACTTTGTTAGCAAGCTACCCTAGTAATTTATAAAGAGGCGCTAGTTCAAAAATAAAGGAGGTATTTACCTTTGAACTAATATCATCTCCAATAAGAAATATATAGCCTCCTCTGTCGATCTAAAGTTAAGATTGAGAAGTTATTTCAGTAAAGCGCATTTGAAATTAGAATTAATAACTAATAAGAGTATTATATATATAACCGTAATGAAGTATAATTATGAATACACTTTGTTAGCAAGCTCTTCAGGTTAGATATACTGGAGATTTGTATAGCTTTATTTTATAGCACCCAATTTATTATAGAAAGATAGCAATATTATTTAGATAATTTAAAATTAGAATACAATACTTTAAAAGTTGCAAGATCTCTTCTTGGCATCTTTTTAGGGATCAGGGTTGCGCAAGCTACGATTAGAAAAATCCGCAAGCTAAACATAGTGATAGCTTTAGCACATAAGAAGAGCGGGAAATTACATAGGTATACATTATTCTTATTTATCAAAATGCTGAAATAAAAATAAATTCTATAAAGGCAGAGGTTATTATATAACGAGAAAATTAAGATAATAAAAGGAAAAGATTCGATTATATGATAGGGGTATGATTCAGTAGGTAGGATGCTACTGTAGCATTTTAGAAGGCGGAATTTGAGTGTCTCCATATTAGCTCGTGAAGCTAAATTAGTAAAAGCCCGAGCGCGGTGGTTGCCATATAGCAATGAATGTTGCCTTATAGCAATGAAGGTTCGAATCCTTCCTCGGGTACCTTTTCTATAACGCTTCTCTAGAAGAATATGTAAATAAATATTTATATCTTTTAGCAGAGTGTTCTAATTCCAAACTCTAATGTTTGGAATAAATCAAGTCTCCGTTCGTGATGGATTTACGTTCGTGGTGACGATAGTATATTTTATATAAGCTAATATACAGTAGCTAGATAGATTACTATAAAGTGCGTCACTAAGGATAGATATCTTAGGGATTATAAGGATATTGCTATCAATATGCGACGGGGGGTGACGGGGATGCGGATGTTGCAGGCTTTGCTTTTATCCCCAGTAAGCAGGGAATAGAAGCCTTTCCGTGTCTTTGTATATCCCGTACTATATTAGAGTAGCCCTCCCCCACCGTTTAGCTTCGTATGATGAAGGCTTAGCAAAGCTCCTCTACATGCGCAACGCTTCGGTAGCGAAATATATATGTGCGCAGGATTACACACTTAAAAATTTCCCCAAAATGCCAACGAAATCAATACAGAATGATTACAATATCACAATTATGATATTTAACAATTTTATAGAATTAATATGCTATGTATATATACATAGTGTGCAGCTGCTGCCTATTTCGAATAAATATGGCTATATAGCAACAAGCTTATGGAAAAATTATCTTAGATGATTAGCTTGGCCCTTTTTTAATCAGAGATTATATCAATTTTTAAGTATATTTTTTATTTATGTAGTAGTTCAACCGATCCAAATAGATTGGAGTTTATATATAGAGGTCTTAAAGAATCTTTTACTAAATCTAGGGTTATTAGAAGCTAAATTCATTAAAGGGGATACCAGTATATATTGGATCTTAGGCTATGGCCAAGGATCTTTATTAGGATTTAGGCCTTGTATAATAATATTTATAATAGTAATTATATTATTACCCTTACTTTTTATATTACAAAATTATATTTTTATAATTCTAAGTTTATTAAGTGCAATATTAGTTAAAGCTTTAGCTTTAAAATTTTATAAAAAACATTTTAAGTACTATTATGACGCTTGGTTCGGCTATAGAGGAGTAGATTCTACTCCGCACAAATGGAAAAAAGTAGTGCACGACCTGACTATACTAATAGTTAATAATAAATACAAAATTATAAAACATATATTAAGAATATGAATAATTTCTGTGATAATCTTTTTTACTTTTAGATTTATGATAGCTACTATGTTATTAAATTTAGAGAATAATAGTTTATCAATAATATTAACACTTACTCTTCCTTTACCTATGTTTTATTATTTGCTAAATTTTATTATTAAATATTTCAATAAAGAACCTATAAAGGATGATGATTATAATTTGTATAATGATTATGTAGTAGATAAAGTAAATTTGTATAAAATAATTTACATGATAATTATGAGCTACTTAATTAGAACCTTTTTAGATATAATAACAGAAGAGCTTATTGTTCTATTATCAGCATTATTAATAATTTGTATATTATTAATAATTTGTATATTATACGTCATTAGCAGGCAAATACATAAGGGAGCAGCTAGTGGACAAAGTAGAATATCCTGTGTGAGCAATAGAGTAATAAATAAGAATGAACAATTAGCACTTAAAGCCGGATTACCATCAACGGCTGCCTATATCTCAGCATTTATAGCAATAACTCCTTTTTTTCAGGAAGGATGTGATAAGGGGTTTGCGGACTATTATTTAAATAGTGGTAAAACTAAATATTATGATTGAAAACGTGTAATTTTCAAAAACCCAGGTGTATTAAAGAAAGGATTAACTGTCAATTTCATGGAGAATAGAAAAATCGAAAATTTATACAGCCAAGATGAATCTACACGGAAAGATTTGATAAATAATAATAGATCTGAACTAGAGAATTCTCCCATTATAAATATTACTTGGAGACTTAAATATAATGAAGGTGTCCAAAGATCGAAAGAGGGATTCACAGTAAAACCGATAAATTATTTTACTAATCCTGAATTTTTTGGGGCGGTTTCTCAGGTTTTAAAGGGGAGATTTTTAATAGTTAATATAATTAGACGTGACTCGCCAGGTTGTGTCTTTATACCTACTTATTTTTTACCTGATAAAAATGATCCTAAAAGTTTTACTAGAATTAGAGATACAGTTAATTTATTAGAGCGTAAATATGGAATAGTTATGCCCTCGATGGGGGTGGAGAAGGCAAACAATAGAACTAATGGTTTAGTAATTTATACTCAAGCCGAATCTATTGACAATTATAGTTTATTTAGAGTATGAAGGCCTTCAGTAAATTTTTCCGAACCGGAATTAAAAACTGTTAATAATTATTATAATTTACCAAAAACTAAATTTAGACTTAAAGAATTTAAGACGAATGACTTTACTCAACTTGAAGAAAAGATCCATGAAACAGTAACAGTTCAGCAAAATTATTTGGATAGATTACGTAAAGATGATGTAGAAATTCCAAAAAGTGATAAAAAGGTTATTATAAATAGGCTAGCTTTAAATGAATATAAGGTAGACAAGTATTATAAAAAATTCGTGGAATTTTACATAACTAAAGGTCAAAAAGCTAACCCTAAGAATTTTATAGTGTTTAACCAGGATCGTACTGATAAACACACACTTAAATATAAAGATTTATTGCTAAAATCCCGGAATGAAACAAAATTATGTATTGAGAGAGAGAAATCTCTAATTCCGAAGAACCGAAGACAAACTCAGGAAGAATTAGTGGATGCTGAATTTTATAGATTTAATAGTAACAATGAATATATGGATAATAAATTCTATTGTTTTAAAACTCGTCGTGATTATCCTATAAATAGTTTATTAATAACGAGAAAAAGAAGCCATATAGCTCAATTTAGTATATATAAGAATGGGGTTATTGAAGGGTACAAAGAAAAAGCACAAACGCTAGGTGAATTAGATTCTAGCTTAAAATTACCATTAATTGAATCTAGAATCGAGTTAATAAAAAGAACAGCAAGAAATTTTAGTGTACATTCACATGTCCAGAATTTTTATGGTGTTTCTATTAATAGACTTACATTTGAATTTTTTGAACTTATACCTACTAAAAATATATATTTTGGGGTATCTGAGAGAGATGGTACTTCTCAGCAATTGATAGACGAAGATATGGATTGCCAAGTTTATAGCATTATAGACGTTAGAAATGATAGTCTAAAATTACCTGTTATTTTTAAAAAAAAAGAGGGGGTAAACTTAGACGTTATAAATGATAGTCAAAAATTACCTGTTAAAGAAAAAGAGGGGTCAGGGTCAAAGAAGTCAGAGGAGTCAATGAAGTGAGAGGAGCCCTTTTATCTTCCTATAATTAAACATGATTATAATTTGTTAGACAATACTGATGAGCATACTATTCGTAGATTTATGGATTTTATCTATCCAAATTCAGATGGATATTTAGCTTATGAATCGGGTAAGGATAATTATGCAAAAAGGGTAGGTTTTTCTAAAAAAGCTATAGACTATAAAGGTAAACAACCTACGGGGCATCATAGTGTCGGATCATTAATAGAATATCACTACTTAGATTTGAAAGGGAAAAGAGTTAATTTTAATTATGAACCTGAACGAATATTGATAGAATCTGATCGAACATTGATATTGGATAAAGGGCCGACTGCTGAAGAACCAATTAATAGTCCTGTCTTACCTATAGAACAACCACCTTTTGCGCCAATTAATAGTCCTGTCTTACCTGTAGAACAACCACCTCTTGTGCCTTCAGCCTGATTAGTCCATGATGATGAGGATATCTATGGTTATAGCGGGGATGAGGATGAT